TTGTAGTAAGCTTTGTGTAGATAAAGCAAGTTCTCTTTTTTTTTTCCTGGCATGCTCTGGCTGTTCTAGGTCACTGAATTTACATAAATTTTATAATGAGTGTATTAGTCAGGGTTCTCCAAAGAAACAGAACCAATAGAATGAATATGTATGTATAGGGATTTATCAGCTTAGTTCACAACATAGAATCAGAGTAGTCCAACCATAGCTGCACCACACTGGAGAGGCTGAGAATCAGTAGTCGCTCAGTCCACAGGGCTGGATGTCTCAGCAATCCCAATCTGGTGCCGAAGGTCTGATGAATTCCAAAAGATCAGCTGGTCTTTAGTCTACAGCAGCAAGATGAACTCACCAGCGAGAGAAAAGGCAAGCAGCAAGAAGCCAGGCATTCTCCTCTGCCATGGCCTTTTATAGGGGCTGCCATCAGAAGGTAACACCCACATTTAGGGTGTGTCTTCCAGCTTCAGATGATCCAATTAAGATCTCTCTCATTTCAGTTAATCCCAGATCCAGTCAAGATGACACTCAGGATTAGCCCACAATGGGTTTGTCCACAGAAAGACTGAGAATTTCAATTAGAATTATACTATAGATCAACTTAGAGATAACAATTACAAAATTTATAATGTAAGATGTATTTTACAATCTCTACTTAAGGTTTTCTTCCTTCTTTTTTGTGGGGGGGTTGCTTTGTTGTTTCTTTGAGGCATGTAACTCTGGCCCTCACTGACCTGGAACTCATTATGTAATCCAGGTCTGAAACTTATGGCAATCCTCCTGCCTCAGTTTCCCAAGTGCTGGGATTACAGGTGTGAGACACTATGACTAACTTTTTCATTTATTAAGTTATATAACTTTCATTGCTTGCAACTTCATTAGTCCCCAATAATTTCATGTCAATATATTTGTAAATAGTGACGTTTCTAATTTCCAATGACTAGTTGCATTTACAAATACACCAGAGTTTTGTACATTGATTCAGCACACTTTACCTTCCTAAACACTTATTTTGGTAGCTTTTTAACTGATTCTTTAGGATTTTTGACAGTGTGACAATGCCCTCTACAAAATCTTACGTTTTTTTCATTGCCATTCGCTGGGTAGGTTCTTTAGCACAATGTGGAATCAGAACACCGAGAACAGATCTTTTATCCATTTTCCAGTTCTTGGTGGGGGGAGAGGGAGTCAGACCACAATGTACAAAGGTAGCTATAGATTTCTGTAAGTAAAGGAAAACCTCTAAACCTAGTTTGCCGAGTTTTTATCATGAACATGTGAATTTTACTGCATATTTTTCTCCAACTATTGATCACGTCTCTGACTCTATGAATTTGGTAAAATCAAAATAACTTTAAAAATTATTCTAATAATTCCTTTAAAAGATGGATTCTCTTGACCATTCTACACTATGGACTCAATTCTCCAGAAGTCTTTCATTTTGTAAAACCGAAACTGTGTCTATGGCACAGTAACTTCACATCGCCCTTCTCACTACTCACTCTAATTTACAAAGGTTTGTCTCTAACTAGAACTGTAAGAGTGCCCTTTATCCCATCATTTTTAAAAAGCTGTGCTCTCAAATATCATCTTATAAAAAAAAAAAAAAAAGCTTTTTTTTATCTTTTTAGATAGAAACTGCTATGTAGACCAGGCTGGCCTTGATCTCAGAGATCCACCTGTCTCTGCCTCCCTAGTGCTGGGGTGAAAGGTGTGCGTCACCTCAATCAGCATTTCTAACATGTGCTTGCCTTACAGAGTCAACCTTGGAGTCATACTAAAAATGGAAATGCTGGAACACCACAGATACTTCACTAGTGTCAAAATGGTTTTCATCACTCCAAACTAAAGGGAAATTGCATATTTTAAAAGCAATGTAGTTCATAAACATTAGTTTTCTTTTTTTAATTTAAATGTGCCAAAGTTTGCACATTGCTGGGCCACAAATGACATTTTCTGGACCCCTTTTATCCCTGTCTGAACCATCCTGCCACTGAAGCACTCCGGATGCAGAGGCAGGAAGATCACATTGGAACTCAGACTGTGTTACATAGCCAGAAAAAGAAAAAAGCTAAATGATTATAGTTTAAAAACCATCAGATTGCCTTTTAAAAGGAAGAGCATTTTTAAAAGATTTATTTTTATTGAATTGTATGTATGTGAGTGTGTGTCTATGTGTGTCCTGTGTATGTGTGTGCAGTTGCCTGTGGAGGTCAGAAGAGGGCACCGGATCCCTTAAGTGCTCCTAACACTAAGCCATCTCTCCAGTTCTCCACATGTCTTTTTGCCAAGTATTCAATCTTACTAGTTTACCTGTTACTATTCTAAAAGTTGGAATTCTATGAATAAGCTTTCAATAATTTTCTTACTGACTACCCTCTAACAACTAATTACAGTAAGTGGAATCTATTCTTCCCAAACTTAGAGAAGTTTTTTGTGGTTTTTTTTTTTTTGGAGTGGATGGAAGGCAGTGGTCCTAGGGATCATCAAATTGATAGCTTTTAAATAAAGAAATATAAAAGAATCATATATACATCAAATTTTCATCCAACTAAATATCCCAGGAATTTGGAAGTATTTTATTTCCAGGGAAAACAACAACAACAACAACAACAACAACAACAAAAACCCCTTTCAAACACAAGAATTTATTGTATAATAGTTTATTTTTCTCATTTACTATTTTTACATTTTATGCACAAATATTTTTTATTTGAGTAAAAATAGAAAATAACTGTTTTATGTAAAATTACAAAAAAACCACGAAGAAATACATAATTGTTATTATGCTAGTATAAGTGTCTTTATTTAAAGAGTAAAAATGTATGCAAAAATTCTCCTTCCTTTTACAAAAGACTGAGAATATTTTTTCTTGGGAATACATGAAATATTGAAGCATCAGTATTTTTATAGCCTTTAGATCTGAAGACATTAAGTCAGTCACAGGTTTGTTTTGCAATTAGGAATTTTAAACAATTTTTGTGCTGTTTCAAGGATACATTAGTTGTTTATAAGACAGTAACATAAATGATAAATGCAGAGTGACAGACCTCCCAAGGATGTGGAGGTACAACTCCTAAAGGGTGACAGCATACTTGAGTATTACCATTAGTCTGGGGAGAAAACAACTAATTTTTTCCCCTAATTTATTTACATGGATTGACACTAAGATGAATCTGATCAGTTGATTCATGTGGAGATCAACCACACACAGCAACTCTGCCTAACTGGTTGTATTTTCCCACTGCCAATACAAATTTTCAGACTTCAGGCTAGCAAGACATGTATAAAAACTAGCTCAATGTAAACATTACATGGAAAAAAATTTTAAAGCAAAAGTGAACATTTCATTATTCTTGTACTTACAAGGAACAAATGATGGTTAACAAATTTTATAGTCTTTTTTCTTTGAGTATATCTTAAATTCTATGAAAAATTCATGACAAAAATGAGCAAAAAAGTAGCATGAATTAATATTTTCTTTCATGTTATTTTTTAAATAGAAAACTAACAAACTGTAACCTCAATAAGGGCAACAGAAACATTTTATATTAAAAACAGAGATGAACTAATGAAAGCTTGAGTTAACTGGAGAAATGAGTCTCATTCCCTGTGTTGTGATGCATAAAAGGATGGAGAGAGGTGAAGAAGATGGGAACCAGCATCTGACCATGGATCGGACCATGGATGAGAACTCTGTTCAATTATAATGGACAAAACAAAACCCACAAGAAATAAAATGGACAGAATGGAGTTGGGAAAAAAAAAGGCACCCGGGAATGTTTAAAGGAGGGGGAAAAAAAGTCTAATTTTAGGGTCCTAAAAGAAGCATAGGTGTTTCTTTCCTTAAGAACATATATTCAAACAAATTAGAGATAAAGTCTGCCCTCTTGGCTAAAACTTTAACATCATGTCTCTAGAGCATTTTAAATTGAAGTCAAGATTCTTAAGCTTTCAACAGACCAGAAATGTAGACTGTAAGTGACTCTGAGTTCCTCAGGCTTTAAGAGGATAGGGAAAATTCTTTTTATAGCTACCTATTTTTCATTTGAAGCTAGGGCCTCTATGTATTATTTTATACTGTTTTTCTACTCAGATATTCTTGAAATCAGTACCAAATTACACTAATAATTTGCCAGCCTACCATTTGTGTTCATAAAAAAGTAAAAATGAAAGACATAAATTTTTCTTTTTAGGTATTTACTGTCAAATCTTAAAGGACTTAACATAAAAGTCCTATAGCACTGTATTGAAAATTATGATTTAGGGAGGCAAGAGAGCCCTCTTTTCTTCCTTGTCCCTAAGATTCCAAACCACTGTTTACTACTGGAAGCAACCAGGCTGGTGTGACAAGGCGCTCTTCCCCTGGCCAACAGCATCAACTGAGTTTTTTCTAAAGTCATTTCTGGGCATGAATTTAAAGTAAAAGATGAGAGGTGTATACAGTAATACTTAGGAACAACTTTCTACTATAAAAACTATTTGTCAGCCTCTCATATCACAATTCATTCATGATACTTTAAAATAAACAAAAAGAAATAAAGGTAATTTTCTAGTCATTTCTGTTTAGTGTTAGCAAGCAGTAAGGCATTTCATAAGAATTATTTAAAGATTTTAAAAACAATTTAATAATCTCCTTTTTGAATATCTTTATGCCTTCATATATGTATAAAGTGGTTAGCTGGACATGTATATAGTTATTTGTGGACATACATATATGTAATATTCAAAAGGAAAAAATTAAAGAAGTGGGAAATTTTGTTTTAAAGATTGCTTATAATGCAGGTCAAATTTTCCCTTTGTAACTATTTGCAAGTAATTTACTAACACCTTCAAGGGTTAAGTACTTCTGTCTGATCTAAGTTCTTCATTTTCTCAGAAAGTCGGGAATATATAAATGGTGTTGCATAATAAACCGGCACTACAGAATAATTTACAAAAAAAAAAGAGGAAGCTATACCAAACTTTTATTTTCTCACTAAGGTATACTTTTTAAAAATCTCTGAGAGAAAAAATAAGATCATTTTGGAATTTTTGTAATAGCTGTTTATTAGAATTAAATGCCTCTCTCAAAATAATTCAAGTTCTTGGACTGACATAATGAATAATCTATACAGAAAACCATTAATAATGGCTTGAATTAAGCCAAATTTAAACTTGGATCTCCTCCTTCAAGCACTGCTCTTTGACAATTAACTTACTATCGTTTACTTGCAAATATATAAATTAATAACCTGATAGTTTAGTAACTTATTGGTATAATTTTAACTGGTATAAACATTTAGCTCTGCTTGATTAGATGAAACAGGCACACATGCTTTATCTGAGAATTCCTTTTTCGGGTTCTATGTAAAGCAGCATCCAAAGCAGCAGAGAGGAAACAGCTACATTTCAAAAATAGTTAGGCCAGACTGTTTCCTGAAGATGCTTCAATTACTTTACATCTTCAGATGCTACTGGCTATTTTTGGTAGGGCTAGACGTTAATACTGACCAGTTTAGCTTTCCTGACTGTTAACAAACTACCCCACAATGAACCTGCTCTTGTACTGCAGGCATCGTGGTGATCCTTTAACATATTTTCTAAAATATATGCTCAAAGTAAAAAGATCCAAATTCACAAGAGTATGAAATAGTTATAAAAAAAATCATGCATCAGATTGTACAATCTAGAAATAAGATTCAAATTCAGTAATAAAGGTTAGAGCAATGCTTGCTCTGAATATTTAAGAAAAACCTTAGACTATCAGAAGGTCCTGGGTCTCAATTGTCTTTTTCTGCTTGTAGAGAGGCAGCAGCCAGGGCTACGGCTGTGACTGGCTGGGCAATTCCATGGAGCTGCATCTTTGCAAGTTTCTTCTGTTCACATTCTGTGACCAAACGGTTCAATTCTGCTGCACTGTATCCAATAAGAGTCTTCAAGTCACAGACAAACTTGTACACAAATCTCTTGCCTTGAACTTTACAAATCATGTCCCCATCATAATAATACCTTGAAAAAGAGAAAACTACATCAGGACTATATAAAAAATGAAGAACATGTACTTCTTGTGTTTCAGACTACTCCACAAACAGAAGTTTTGTAGAGTATTTTTCCCAATACAAGAGTTAACACTGACATTATACAGAATATTTAATGCTATTATCCAAGGAAATGTCAAAACACCAAAGTTTCAATACTTAGCATTTATCTGTGAAACTTTCAAAGTAAATATTCAACAACTGCATGATACACTGATTTAGAAAACAGTATTATTTATTACTAAACAAGGCAAGATGAAACCAAAAACCTAGGAAGTGTTAACAGCACCTACCAACAAGGCTTTTAAGCGAGAAGACCAACACTCAAACCCTAGCACCCGGACTTACTACCTTTGTGACCACAGGAAAATGACAGTTTCTTTGTGCTTGTATTCCTCATCTATAAAATGAGATTAAAAGTAGTACTTACCCTTACAGGCTTGTTGAGCAAAGGGATAATTTTTATAAATTGCTTTTAGCATGCAATGACTTCCAGTTAGCCCTCTATAAAATATAAGCCATGTTAGGAACTAGAGAGATGGCTCAGCAGTTAAGAGAACTGACTGCTCTTCCAAACACGGCAGCTAACAACTGTCTGTAACTCTAGTTCCAGGGGAATTCATTGCTCTCTTCTGAACTCCTTGGACACCACATGACACAGGTGCACTTACATACATGAGGCAATACACTTATACACATAAAATAAGAATATTCAAAAAATATATAAGCTATGTTAATAAGAATCCAGTGAATAAAAAAGTTAAATACACAGATTGCTAAATGCCTACTTCTCTTGTCTGACCTAAAATGCAATATGATGTAGACATGTTTTCATCTTTTCCATTAAACTACATAAAGGTTCCCCAAATTTCAGAGAAATTCTCCAAACCCAATAGGAGTCCCAAAAGAATAAATGAAAGGACCAAAAGAAAGAGGCTACCACTGTTTCTAAATCTACGTGAGCAGACTTGAGGTGTACACTCTAGTAGTCTAGTTTACTACTTGCTTTCTGTGGAGATAAAAACACCTAGGTTTACATCTATTTTCAAAATCAGACCTCACTTACCATTATACACATACAATTCCAACAGTGGGCAAGGTTAAAGTTAAGTCAAGCTCTTTTCTAGGCTGGCAGGTTATAACCCTTATTTTATTTTTTCGCCTTTTTGAGACAGGGTCTCCCTGCAGCCCCAGATGGCCTGGAACTCACTATGGAGACCAGGCTGGCCTTGATCTCAGAGATCCACCTGCTCTGCCTCCTGAGTGCTGGGACTAAAGGCGTGTGCCACCATGCCCAGGTAATGAACCCTTATTTTAAAACTGCAATGCCTACTGACAAAGGAGCTGCAAATGGAACTATTCCCAAAGCGCAGGAGCTATAAACTATACCATTTCTCAAGAGCTTCATTCTACAAATCATTTTCCTTCATTAAAAGCTCACTACTGAAAAGACTAACCAATATGCTAGAGATCATGTCATTTCCCCCCAGTTCCAGCAGAAGTGTTACAGTTATGTATGACTTCTTAGTAAGAGATACAAATACATTGGGCAGAATTGCATTTGTCCTCTTTTTAAAAGCCATGTTTCTTTTTAAAGTTTTTATTTTATTTATTGACTTTATTTTCTTTTTAAAAAAAATTTTATTTATAGGGGCTGGAGAGATGGCTCAGTGGTTAAGAACACTGACTGTTCTTGCAGAAGACCCAGGTTTGGATCCCAGCACCAACATGGCGGCTAACAACTGTCCATAACTCCAGTTCCAGGGGATCCGACAGTCTCTTCTGACCTCCATGGGTACTGCATGACACGCATGCACTTACCTACGTGCAGGCAATACACACATACACATAAAATAAAAATAATAAATAAAATACTTAAAAAATTTTTTATTTAATGTGTATGTATGTATTGCCTGCATGGGACTGGAGTTACAGACAGTTGTTAGCCCCCATGTGCGTGCTGGGATTCAAACCCAGGTCTTCTGCAAGAACAACCAGTGTTCTTAACCACTGAGCCATCTCTCCAGCCCCATAATTTTATTTTCTGTGTATGAGTGTATTGCCTGCATGTGTGTAAGTCCACCCATGTTGTGCAATGCCCATAAAGGTCAGAAGAGGGAGTTGGATCCCCTGGTCCTCTGCAAGAACAGCTAGTGCTCTTAACCACTGGACCATCTCTCCCAGCCTCACGTCTGTCCTTTTTTATGTCAATTACATCAATGAAGAATTTGAACCTCAGTTTATAAACCACCAAATTGTATGTCATTTAGTTAAAAAATACAAGTTTATGAGACACTTGAGAAATAGGAAAAAGGAATACATGCTCAAGTTTTACCTGTATTCAATATTTTCTTTAATTTAGTATATGCATTGCAAGCTATATACAATAGCATTCACTATACTGTTCTCTCCCTGAGATGAAGAGGAAAGGTACACAATATTTGTATTTTCATGGACATCATCCTTTAACTTTGTAAAACTGTTTTTAAAACATCTTAAATTGTGAACTGCATCACATAAATACTGCTAGTGCTGAGAATCCCTTCCACTCTTTTTTAGTCATCACCACTCTAAAAATGAAAGCACCAGTTTGCATCATGATACTCATTTCACTGTTTTTCTTTGTATTATTTCCTTTAAATGTCCATTCTTATATGCTATAATTTATTTTCCTATTTTATTAAACTTTACTAAGTAAATGTATTTATATGTGGTAATGTATAGTCTTGTGGATCCAGCTCCCTCCCTGAACATGGTTTGTGATGTTCAACCGCATCATCTGTGGCAGGAGTTCATCTTTAACAGATATATAACACTTCAATACACGAACATATCACAAGAGGTCCATTCCCTCTCCTGTTGATGGCTTTATGGGTGATTTCTGACTTGGGGATGTTAAAAGTAAGCTGTTGTAAGTATGTATGTAGACATTCACGAACACTTCTGTCTGGGATCTATTAAGGAAAGGCACTGCTGAGCACAGGTTACATTCCTACCTCTGGGTACATTTCTGCTGGATGCACTCCTACCCAGTTAACCTCACTAATACTTGGCACTGGAGATCTTTTCAGCTCAGACCATAGTACTTACAGAAGAATTACAAATTATTTTATTTTATTTTATTCCAATTTGTACTTTTGGGTATTCAGATTGAGGCAGATACAGGAGGATAAAAATTAGAAAAGCGCAGCAATAGTTTGCATCTAATTGTAAAAACAGAACACCATATTCACATATTAAAAAGTTTAAAAATGTAGGAAACAGCATACTTTAAAGTGAAATGGAGATCGTCTTTAAAGGGTAAAAACTCAATTTTATGTCTTACAGGGTTTATATTGAGTTCAATACTGTATAACTGTATTAATTCAACTGTGAACCTAAAAATTTTAAAGCCACCTTTAAAAAAATTTTTTTATTTATTATTTTTATTTTATGTGTATGCGTGTATTGCCTGTAGGAAAGAGCACCTGTGTCATGCAATGCCTGTGGGGGTCAGAAGAAGCTGTCAGATCCCCTGGGACTGGAGTTACGGACAGTTGTTAGTTGCCATGTAGGTGTTGGGATTCGAATCTGGGTCTTCTGCAAGACAACCAGTGTTCTTAACCACTGAGCCATCTCTCCGGCCCCAACAGCCACTTTTGAAAGAGATGTATCCTTGCTCTGGAATGTGTTACTGAATATGTTAAAGCTGTAATGAAATGCTTCTTCTAATCATGTGGTTATTAAATAAAAAAGAAAAAGTACATTCAATTTAACTCTGCAAACAAAAACATTATTTGGAATGATGCACATGACAGCAAAATCCAAGATGAATAAACACACTAGCTTTGAATAAGGCATTACATGCTTTTAAATCACATAAAAACAAATAATCTTTTAAGCTTTATGAACCTGCTTACCGTAACGCACGGCTGAGTTTCTCATAGTTCATTGTAGGCTTGTTTTTACGTTGTCCCCATTTTTGTGCAACCAATTCAGGCTGATTTAGTTTAAATTCACCTTCATCACCAACCCAAGAAATACAGTCGCGAGCATCCTTGTCAGTGAGAAGTTCTAGCAAAAATTGCCACAGTTGGATCTGACCATTGTTTCCTAAATTCACAAATGGAACAAGTATCGGTCACGGTGCTAAAAGCTAACACAAGGCAAAGGCAGTATACAAGTCCGCTGGTTCAGTCTCAGCCAAAACAAAAACAAATTTCTAATTTTAAAAATCCAGCTAACAATGCAGCTATAAATATGGGACACCCACTCTTCTGTAAATAAACCCCTACCCTATGCTCTTTTAAAAATAATAATAATAAGGACTGGAGAGATGGCTCAATGGTTAAGAACACTGACTGTTCTTGCAGAAGACCTGGGTTCGAATCCCAGCACCCACATGACAGCTAACAACTATCCATAATTCCATTTCCAGGGGCTCCAATAGCCTCTTCTGTCCTCTGTGGGCACTGTATGACATGGGTGCACTTACCTACATGCAGGCAATACATTCATATACATAAAATAAAAATAATAAATAAAATATTTAAAAAATAAATTAAAAAATATTTTTAAAAAGCCCACTAACTAAGCACTGCCAGAGGGAGAGTCCATATTCACATTTTCATACACTGTAATAAAACAAAATACACCTGGTTTGACAAGTTTTATAACTATCAGGTCAAGTGAACACACCTGTTCTGTTCCCAGGCGAGCTTCTATCCTCTCCTGAAATCCTTGGAGCTCTTTGTACTTTGGCTGCCTTTGCACTACTGTTTATGACTTTAATGGTAGTTGGTGTAGCAGACTGCACAGATGCTGGAATAATTTGCACAGCTAAAGGAACAGACAAAGGGGAAGATATTTTTCTTCTAATATAAGCAGTAAAAAAAAAATTCTGTAAAGACCTTAAATGCAATCAATACAACTAACGTCCTTCTAATCACATCAAGAAAAGGCTTCAGACCCAGGTATGGTGGCTCATGCCTACAACTCTAGCACTTAGGAGGATTGCAGCAAGTCTGAAGCTTGCCCTGGCTATTTGCTAAAAAAAGCAAAAACAACAAATCCTACAAAAAGAAGACTTAATATTATAAGACTTAATCATCTTAATCCTCAACTTTTAGAGGATAAAGTTCTGTTGTTTCCATTGTGGTTTGTGAAATCTTAGCTTAGTAAGAGCTATCTGCCTTGTTCTGAAATAACAACTTAATGGTACATATACAGTAGAGAGAAAATTGTAATATAAAACTGGTCATAAAATAGCTTAAAAGGTGGTGAAAACATGTACAATTAAGAACTCACATTCTAGCTAGGCACAGTGGTGTACACCTATAATTCCACCACATAGGCAGGTGAGCCCTGGGAGACCGACACCAGTTGGTCTATGTAACAGTGTTTCCAGGACAGCTGAGACTACTGTCTCAAAAACAAAACAAAACAAAAACAACAACAAAAAAAAAACCCACAAAAAAAACACAACACAAAAAGACAAAAACAAAAATAAAAGACAAAAAAACCTTCACATTCTACTGTAAGTGAAACTATAAATTCATACAACCACTGTGAGGAAAGTTGGTGCACCCTACTGAGGTTGAAAGGGCAGAAACAAAAACTCTGTGAACTGTTTTGCAAATACTTATTCAATGATGTCTGTAGCATTTTAGAAATGAATAAGACTGCAATGATCCACACAGCCAAGTCTCAAAGGTTAAAGAAAAAAAAACACCTTACCAAAAGATATACATAGTAAGCTACCATTTTATCCCAAGCCCTCAAATATGTGCAAAATAATGTTCCTAAGTATTTACGGCATGGTTGGCAGAAATAAAAACTACGCAGAAAATAGTAAGCAGCAATTTGAAGATAGTTCTCTATTTCAGAGAAAAAAAACAGTCTCAAACAGGTGAACCTCAAATATAAAGTTTTATTTCTTACAATACACGCTGGTGCTAGTTATAATACTTCATTTCTTTGTAAATCTAAAATCTGTCAGAAAATTAATTTTAAAACTTTAGCTTGACCTTATCTGATAAAGAAGCATTCCTTACTGATGAAAGAGCAAGTATTATGGGCACGAATACTCACGCTGGTCAATTGTAACTATCTCATTCATCTGCTGTTCTTGGCTTGCCAAAACATCTGAAGAACATAAAAAAATTTTCATTTGAAAATACAAAACCCCAATTCAGTAAAATGCAGTTTAACAAACATCTTTTAAAAGAGCACCCCATAATTAAAACCAAGCCAAAAACAAAAGAGAGGAAAGAACAGTATTAAACAATTGAAACTTACTGTATCTTTAAGAGATGTTACAATGGCAAAGTATTTTTTTAGCATTTAGAAGTTATTCAA